AATACATCAGCGCCATTATGACCAATTTTCCGTCGCGTCACTAAGGTTCTTCAACCACTGTTTCCTATCGCCTCGTAGACCCCTGTTAAGCGTTTTGCACCTGCATACACGGCTTACATCAAAATTCAGGCAGTCAGGGGCTTCATAGACGGGCGTCGTGTTTTGGTGTAGTCACCACGAACTCTTCCCACCTAATCCAACTTCCTCTAACATGGCATGTCGGACGGGTCCTCTGACCTTTGCAGAACTTGGTAAAGTTATGGGTGGTGGGTTATGGGTGGTCTCTTAGGTCTACTATATGCTTGGATCAGTGCATTCGGATAGCGCCAAAGCTTATATACTATTTGTGAATTAAAACAAACAACGGAGACTAAACAATCGCTCAGAGAATCTTCTTGCGAGGAAGAAATTTCACTGTCAAGAGACTTTCCTACCCAACCATTCTGTATTTTCCATATGGTTGTTATTTTCATAGACAAGAATTGTATTGTTTGCTCTACATGAAGTTATTAATCAATGATTGAAGTTCTGGTTTGTCTGCAGGGTTTCGGTTCAATAGACTGCTGATTCTAGAATGTTGTTTTCGAGCGACATATAACACAAATACTCTGATATCGGGTGTAGTCAGAAGTTGCTGCAACTCAACCGAGTAACTGGCAATAAGAGGCCTGATTACGGGATAACATTTTGACAAAGGTGGTATGCTAAACACCTCCAGGAATGCTAGGCGTCGCACTTTGAAAAGCAGTTTCACTGATTTGTCGCTGTAAAAATATCTTCTTGTGTTTCACAGTAAGTTAACACTGACTCGAAGGTCTATTGGGAACTCCAAGTAATAAAGTACTATACAGCATCCGACCCAAACACCTTATTCGCGGCTTCTTAAGAGTGGAACTGACTACACTGTTTAACAAGGTATGAGAGAACGAGTGTTTCATTATTCTGTAGTGAGGCCATTATTGGACTCGTCTTTAGAAAAGCTTACACAATGTAAGTGGTAATTATTGAGATGTCAGTCACATGTAAAATGCTGGTTGCTACAATACTCTGCAGGCTGCAAAAAACACGAGAAACTTATCAACGTCGAGCAGACTGGTTTTCAAGTCATGAATATGTTGGTCACGAGTTAACTGGTTGTAAGATGCTTGAGCATCATCACACGTATTGCAGACAGACAACCATTGGTATTTAGTGATATTAAGACTTATGAATTCAGTTAACAGGGCTGTACGCTGAAATTGTCCGTCACATCGTCAGTCAGACAATATCAAAACGGTACGTATCGAGATTAGTGTTCAAGAAATTGAACGGAAAGTAGTTAAAGTGGTAGATCACTATGAAGACGGAATAACATGAAATGAGAGTAGTGAGTAGTGCTCACAAACACTTCCCAATATGGCTAAATATATGTGCAGTGAAAATGTAACTCGATATTAGCTTACTTAGTTCAACCTGACTATAAAGCTGATATGAACCAATCACATTTAGCAACTCTCCATTAATTTACGAAAAGCTACCAGATATAATTCAAATAGTAGAAGCTGTAGCAATTTGGCTTCAACAGCCCGAATTGTGTACAGAAGAAATAGATGAAGCAAATACTACTGTCTCGGATAGTATGGGAATGGACAACTCTCTGAGATGGTTTTAACTTACCCGCACTATACAAAACATATTAGTACCTACATATTTAACTACACTGAAATGTATTAACGATTAACTGTCAGAGAAAGTATAACATTAACTTACACGCATTTATACTTTGACTCAACAACATGCATAAATAAATGTAGAATATGATAAGAAGTTATCGGGAAAAACCCTTCCTTTAACAAAATGCCCTTTCAAAGAAGGCATGACTATTGAGATGAAAACGTGAGCAGACATCTAAGCTATTGAGATGGACTATGAGACAAATCAACGACAATCGCCAATCACTAATTTCGTTCGTTATCCAGAAACCAACGAGAAAGTCGACATTTCCCTATACAGACGACTGAGACCAATATTCAAAGACTTCATGCAATGTTACCATATTTTAGTATGGTCACCCTCAACCCTTCTACACTCTATAAACTTACTTCAGCTATCAAACGGTCATTACGCATACGTAACATGTTTCAGTCATCTCAGTCCATGAAGGTTCACAACTTTATCAACTGACTTGACTCTTCCCTAAAACTCTGTACCTGGTTTCTACATTACTGTGGTAGTAACAACACAACACGCTTTCTGTCCCATGAAGGCCACAGGCCTCAAATGCCTGAAACCTCCTCATATTCTTTCTATATTGTGGCCATTTTTAACATCCATACAGAACAGAGCAGACTGCAGCACAGTAAACGTGATCACTAATACATAATCGTAACACAAAATGACGTAAGGTGCCGAAAGCCAAGAGAGCTTTTGGTTGGTAACTGACCCATCAGGGCTGAACCAACTTCTCAGGTAAGTGACGTGGTCAACACGATCAGAAACTTCATTGCTTATTTTTAGGTGCAACAACAATCTAAACCAGTTCTGCACCAATAATTTTCATTCAGATGGTGAGGAAAGAATGTCAAACATTCTCAAATCTCCCCCTCAAGGTATCCAGAAAACTCTGCATTTGGTCACCACCTAACAGGAGTATATCGTCTGCGTACTTCAGGTTTACTGATGGGTATACTCGGATAAAATAACTCCATGTAGTCCGACAACAACATGCAGACATCTATAAGCACTCCTACAATAAATCTGAATAAAATGAGTGGACATTCTTGACGAACATCACACGACGTAAGCAAAACACCTGATGACTCAGACAGACAAAATCAAGGTAGAATCTAAGACATGAGAACACTGTTTCTAATTGCCACGCTTCATATCAGCGCGTAAACAAGAAGTGGATACAAAAAGATGCATAACAGTCGACAAACGTGAATCGGAGAAACAATTCGAAAATCAAGATTACCGATTGAAGCTTTAGAATACCACTGTGACCAGTTTCCAACCTTTTCACCAAGAGTCCCTAGCCACTGATTCCTACCGTCTTGCGAACCCCAGCTACATAGCCTACATGTCCCTCACACGACTCAGACAAACAGTCAAGGACTTCATGGACTGGCACACCTCTTGGTGTGGTCACTCTAAACCCTCCCCACCTAGTTTAGCTCCCTACAATATTTTAAGTCGAAGTATGCGGTGGCTTGGCATGCATAGCATATGTTAAAAACCACCTTAGTCTTTGAAGGTTCACAACCTCATCGACCGACTTGATTTTCTTACCTCCTATCTTTCGTCTGACCTCTCTTTAGATTACATACACGCTGATTCCACCATACGCGAGCAATACTAAATAGACACGTGTGTTTCAGAAAAGTGTAGTTGATTCACACCTTCAGATTTTAACAGCCGTGTCGCATAGCCGCATAGCAGGACGGAATAGACTGTAGTGCAGTATACTCGTCTTTAGGTAAGCAGTCAGGTATCTCGCCAGTGGATGCCAGAGATGATGAAAGTTGAAAAATGCGAAACAGGCCTTCTATATCTGAGGTGCTGATGCAACTTTCCAATCAATACTTAGTGGATGATTCGTTGTTGCCAATCGTTAGGAAATAAATACCTAAAAGTTAATTTAACTCGTAGCTTGTAAACAATCAAGAATTGTAGTGAGAATGCACTGAAAACAGCTAAGATGCTTTTGTCTTTTTGTAGGTCTAAAGATTAATTAAAACTTCTTACACTAAATGTGAATAACCTAATTTACAGTAGTGCAAATGAGCTCCAAGTTCATAACTAGAGAGAGGGAAGTAGACACACTTGTGTCCACTGCCACGAAGTATTCAGAACGATCAGATTCTCGCTTTTCATCTTAATGCGGATAAGGAGCGTTTAAATCTCAGTATGTTGGGATTTGAACTACGATTTAGGTGTTAACTTCCATAATTCGTTGATTACTTCTAAGACGTTTACCTTTAGACGTAACCACAGGAAAAAAGGCGACTGGAAGTTATACTAAAACTTTTGCCACCACTGGGTTAGCTACTGGAGTTTATCGCCAGAGTAGATGGTAAAAGCTCTCAAGATAAGTGCACAGAGGGTGAAATGAAGTCGTCACACAGATATTCACAGTAAAAAAGTAACACAAACCACTAGTTCTACTATCTTAAGCAACTAAGACTGGTTTGACATGTGAAAGATTGAACCTATGAGATATTGTCTTCAGTTCCACATTGTCAGTATTTGTCTGTTCAGCCAATTTTTGTTTTCTCAACTTAATCTACATACTGGATGAATGGGAAGTAAAACTGAAGTACAGTTTGTCATGAATTTTGACCCTTTGATACATTGACGAAGTACAAGCGAAGAAATTGCAGTCAACTGTACCGCTGATGGTTTTAAATAATTTTCTTTTGAAAATTCGCGAGGATCAAATTATTAAAGGGTACGCACTCAGGTCATCTACGAACTCTATGGTTAAGTTTGACTCGCAGCATTAATGCAGTAGTGGTTTCACGCTTACTTATCTACACGCGGAATAAATTTATGGACGAAATTATTCTGAAACTCTTACGTCTTTGGAATCTGGATCTTAAAATGCGTTTTATCTTACTGTTCATTGATCCAACTCAAAGTCCCTCTAACTGACACCGCAAAAGGGTCTGCAGAGCTGAACCGGCAATGTTTGGATTTGAAAATGAACTTCAGAAATCATCACTAGAAAAGTCGGATACTGAAGAAGTGACCAAAAATTTAAAACGCTGGGAGTCATAACTGCGGTTGAATACACGCAGACGTTATTGGCTATTTACTCCGAAAGATGGTATGCCCTAACTGATGGGGAAGACTTAGAGACGGAAAACAAATTATTTTGTTTCAAAGTGTACACTGTTTATAGATCTACTTGGATTACTGCCACGTTAGTATCTTTGTGATTAGTGTAGATCCCTATAGAAAGCTATGTAAAACTATTAAGTCGGTTATACTGATCACAAGTTGTAAAAGTAGTTAGTTCTGACCTTTGTATCGACTGAAGACAAGTTTATGTTGCATTGTACTAAAAGGCAGATATTCGAATTATTTGAAAGGACTTGAAAAGTAGCAGGAATAGGTACATTTTCATTTGTTATCACACCACTTCCAAAAGCTGTATCACAGACTAGCGAACTCGAATCTATAATGATAATAATGAAGATAAAAACCACTCTTACATGCCGCAACTAGCACAGCAAGAATTGAGACCATGACCTCGAATATTCGGAAGCAGCGCCTTCTTTCAACCTTGTTAGTGAACACGCACCTCTGCAATATACAATCTTTACGTTACTAATAGGTTTAGTGTGGTTCTCTCTCCTCATAAAATTCCTATTTTGATAAGGAGATATAAGCTTTAGTGAACCATAACAGAAGAAAATTATCCAATGTCTTGCTAAATTGCTAGCGAACCAGTTTAACTTTTTCAATGCCTAATGCGTTTTTCTTGCTCGAGTAAGCCAGCTAATTTTTTAGAGCTCACATCTAAATCCTCCGAAACAGCTTTGGATTATTCGCTGGGTTCCCAGGCATTATACCAAGTAGTTTGCCTTTTGTAGCCGTGGAAAACCATACACGTGGTTCTACATTCGTTGTGCATGCACTTCAAACTTGTTTTAGAGAAGTAGTGAACAGTGATTGTTTATGCTCTATTTCCATCTCAGCGGAATAATTCTGTAATGGCCAGGTGTTTTCCTGGTTCAAATGGACCTGAAAGGAAAGAGGTACGCGGTCAATTAACTAATCTACTTGCAGTTGGTAAGACGACAGGTGGCCTCTTGATTACAGTTCATATTCGCAAAACGACCCTATACGTTCACCAAACCTAATTTTGAAAACACCGGGATGGCTACCTGTGATAACTTGGTCAGGAAGGTACTTCCACCGAAGAAAAGAGAGAGGAAGATGAGGATGAAGAAAAGGAGGAAGGGGAAAATCAAGGGAAGAATATAGATGAGTTCAGAGAAGACAAGAGGACAGTGGTATGAGGGGCTTAAAGGGGGGGAGAAAGGAAAGAGAGAAAGGGCTTGAAGCAGATATAATGGAAAGAGAACTTGTAATTATAAAGTATCCAGAAGGGAAGTAAAGGATGGATTTGCACCCACAATAATAGCAACGGTGGGAGAAAATTGGTGTGAAGGCGATAAAAACTGTTCGACTGACGAAGTACCAGCTGGTTGCTTTTTCCTAATCCATATCCAGCACTAATGTGGTTTAGGTGTCACTGGGTAACTGTCCAGGCTTTTCTTGAGGTTGTCGTCAGGTGGAATGGTGGCCACCACGGTTGGTAATGCTTTTCGGCGACCACAGACTCTGAGTGAAAGGAAGTACTTCTGTCACAAGTAAATACCTTCTTACCACGAATATGATCGTCCCATCACTGAAATGAGCACGATTTACCTCCTACTGGCATGAGTAACCTAATTTCATCCTGGATGTTCCGTTTGCCTTTTATTGTTCAACACTTCCATGAGCCTGTAATAATACTCACAAAATTTGTAACAGCCAGTCTTCAGGCCTCAACTATATCTTAACTACAGTTGCTTTGTTCCTAGGGGTTGTAACTGCCCGAGAAATAATTGTAATGAAAATAATATTTGTACAAGTGTTCGAGAGTAATTATTAATAGCCACATCTGCAGAAACTGCATACTGTCGTAACTGCAGGAATAAAACATTACTGTTATGCTAAACTTGTGCTGTGGTGAACTGATCCAGTATATTAGTACTAAGGCAAGTTGTCCAGTAGTCAGAATTAGAGTTGCAGATGTGCTCTTAGCACCATCAATTTACGTAGAATACGTTCAAAGGTTAGTTGGGTATATTTACGTCAATAGTTAAGCGCAGGTGCTTCATTTAGGCGAAATGATTTATTCTTCGGTTAACTGCTGTAATCACAGGTCACCAAGTTGTCCATCATCAAATAATGACTCCAAAATGGACCTGAAAAATTCTGTGACGCAACCCCGTGATCTGAGGGCAAATGTATGTAGTATTAAAACCAAATAAGTTTTTCAAATAACACTTGCAGTGGCCCCGAAATAAATCCGTCTGTTCTTTCACGTTTTCATGTGAACTGAGAGCTTCGAAGTACTGTTGTCTGTCTCCACACACATTATTGGAGTGAAATTGACACAGGTATCGGAACTTCAGTTGCTGAGGACCTCTTTTGGTGATAGTCACACCAGTGGTTAGTTGTGTATTTTGCCCTGATTACTGGCATTACCTTCACATCCAAGGCACCCAAGTCAAAATCATCCTGGTTGTCGATTCCTTGAGCACAAGACAGAATGTAAAATTCTGATAGCATGTCCAGCATGCCCTGGCTTGTGAAACCGACGCTGGTGCTCGACTATAAAAGCAAGTTTCTCAAGGCCCTTGACACACAACCCTTTTATTCGTTTACATCCATACAGTCTTACTCTTGAAAGTTTCAGGAGCATACTGTGATGCCCGCATCTGATCTTGATATCTGGGTCAAGAATTTTTAAACAGCGATGTAAGGTTGGCTCTTTGATCACCACAGACTTAGAGTTATTTGTAAAACTTGGCTCTGCGATCTTACATTGTTGTGTTGGTTCTCCTGTGTGCGCCAACGAGGGAAAATGTGTACTGAATTGACATGGTAGACTGTGCAACACCCTTACTCAGCAGTCATGTGCACAAGAGTTTGCGGAAACAACAAATAATCAAGTGGCATCACTTAAGATATATTTTATAGGATTCCCAGAACGGGAAATTCGGTTCACACATCGATTTATTAAGTGAGCATGCTATGAGCACCAGATTGCCGTACTCCGTAGTGGAGGAGCTGTAACCGCCTGTATCCGACTAATCTTCCCAGTGGCGCAGCAGCCTCCGAATGAGACACTGACGCCAACACCCTCTTGAAAGTAAAAAGTCGGGTACTGACCCATTTACCAACAAACTTTTAAAAAAGCCTGTATAGCCTTGGCTTGTGGTGTTCGGCCTCCAAAGAGTTGTTCTGCTTTATGATAAGCGACAGCACACTTCTGCTCACATGACAACGGACAAAACGATGAGTACCTGTGAATTCTTTTAATCCGAAGTCAGTCTTTCAGAACGTAACTGTCAAGACAGAAGGGTTTCGTTTCTATCAATCTCCACATATCCTGTGTATGTAATAACCTGAGGTATTGCTGCAGCACTGCCAGTTTAAAGCTCCGGAAAGATTTAACATTGCTGATTTCTGTCGCAAAGACGCTTCCTATTCGACTGTATTGCGACTGATAAGCAGACGACACAAGAGTCAACACGTATTGTGCAACACTGCATAAGCCGTATGTGGTCGAAAGAGAGCTATGCCCTATGAAAACACCCACTCTATGGCTTCCAACAATACTCCCAAAAGCTGCAGAAATTCACCGGTGAGTTCACCTGCTTCATCGCTCATGAAAGCAACAAAAATTGAAGTAGTTGCACGGTTTCCACTATGATTATAACCTCGTTAAGGAGGGAGTTTTCATTACTCATCTGCCAGATCCAGTCCAGAGTGAAAACATTAGGACCAGCCAGCTCCGGCTAGTTCGCCGTAGCGAAAAGAAGTCCTCTACATCTTCGATCTCACTGAAATCGGGTACTGATTCACTGAGACGAATGGTGTGCCCTTGTAGTTTTTCATAACTACATAGGAGAAGGTGGGTGCTGGGAAAATCTCCATGTGGGTAGTGCATATAAAGCAAGCTTTGAATAATCAGCCGTCTGTTGTGGAGTGTGCAACTGAGTGGGACAACATTAGGGCATCTGTGCCAGGTATCAGTAACAACCTTGTGCTTTTTTGACGTCCCCAAACTACTTCGTTCAAAAGCAATGTCCACAAACAGTTGCCCGGATGGTTTTGAGCCAACAACTCTGTCGTCACTGTCAAGACACCCCCGACAAATTTTTCGGGCGCAAAGCCCAGGTGGGAGTGCCTCAGAGTCAGTCTATAAAACATATTACAAACGGAAGAAAATGACTTCGTCAGCACGTCGGCTACGCACTTCCAGCAAAAGGAAATTAGTGCAGAGTTGGTGATGCCAATGGAAACGTGACTCCTGCGCGACCTATTGCTTGTGCATTAGGTTCACATGTCCTTTTGGAGAGACTCTCAGAAATTCTGACCACGTAAATGCAGCGAAATGAAGGCGCCCCATAAATATGGACAGTTCTTCACACACCGGGTAACTCTACAGGTATTTGTGTTGTTTAATACTACTATTTAATTTTGTGCTACGGGTCAGGTGACCTCATTTCTCATTGACATTGATCGGGCAATAAGTTAGATGGGCTGCGGGTATAAAGTTTTTTTCCCCATCAATCAAATCAGGCTGCTTTGGACCAAGCTCAGATCATTTTCGTAAAGTGCAACTGCTAAATTTTGTGCGTTACACTGACCCCTTCTACCTTATATCCACATTGCATTATCCTTTCGTAAGTATTTGTTTTTTGCCCGTTTATATTCCATACAGTGGAAACACCTGACAACCTACCTCTAAAGTACGGATAGTCCGCACACTGAAGCTCATAACTGTTCAGTATGTAGTAAAGCGGACAATATAGATTGTCGTGCCTAATTACACCGAATGCATATTTTCACCTTTTTCTGCACCACAATTTAATTACAATCAATTCATTTTACTTTCACGTACCCTGCCTTCTTTTCGGAGTTTCGAGTGGACTTCCTCCTCGACGAACGGTTCAACTAGTGTAGCCTGTAAATTTTTTCTCTCTTTCTAAATCCACTGACTCTTCAAGGGCGTAGCAACAGCACTAGCCTAAACTGCCAAGCTGATATACGTATATAATCATTGGTGTGCACTTGTCTGAGAGAACAAACTATTACGATTGTTATTAAATGCTCCAGGATAAGCATCCGTGATAGAAGCTTGTGTGTCAGGTGACTGAAGGGTAGACTGAGGGAAAATAATCGCAGGAGAGACAAAAGGGCGGCAACTTTATAGTTCTAGATTAAGACCTAGGGAAGCTCCGACCTTAAGTTGTGGTACACGAAACACCGACGCCAAGAAGTCGAGACTCCTTTTTCCCCTGCCTTTTTTCAACCGTGGGTGGGATGACACCATGAACCGTGTCTCTGGACAGCGACCAGCAGTGAAGGAAGGGTGACGCAAGAAGTCTGCTAACGACTTCAGTTTCTACCACATGCTGACCTACACATTTACCGATCGCTCTGAGTCAAAAGTGCGGGGTCAG